TAGTTACAACTCATTATACCACGATACCACAGGAGTATAATTCTAAAATTAATCTGTGTTCCCATTATTTCACAGATGACTACTTCTCCAATCTCAGGTGAGGTCAATGGGGAAGTGAAAATAAGCTGCTTTTAACTGTCACAGTGCAGAGCACAGAGTTTTGTTGCCATGTTAATATCTACATGAATGAGCTACAGCGTTTGAGAGGGGTTCAAGTTTTCGTGGGATGCCCACGTAGGATGTAGGCGGGCATTATGCAAATGTAAGAATTTGTGACGTGTGAAATTTGCGTAATGGGATTCGAATTTAAAACAGCTCGTTTAAGTGATTCAGAGTCGACTCTTTCTTTTGAGAGACAATAACTTTATTTAGGGCTGCACGATTAATCGGATGTGATTGTCATGCGTATCTTGTCAGTAAACCCGGTTCTGTGATTAGTAGTAAATCTCCAGCACGTGCTTTCAGATGGAGCAGTGTTTACTACACAGAGCCGTAGTTCACTGACAAGCTACGCAAAATCGCGCTCATAATCGCAGACGATTTAATCGCGCTATTATGAAATCGAAGAAATCGTTCTGCGATTATAAAAGCTGTTGGCGTAGCTTGTCAGTGAACGACGGCTCTGTGTAGTAAATGCTGCTTCACCTGAAAGCGCGAAAATACCACATTTAATAACAGGTTTTTACTCCAAACTCACTTAACTCACGCCCTCTGGCCTTCAGATGGAGATTTACTGCTGATCACAGAGTCGCGCTTTACTGAAAGACATGCATGACAATCGCAGCTTCTGCCTAATCGCGATTTATCGCCCTTGCGATTCAATTTTGATGAATCGTGCAGCCCTAACTTTATTTATGATGCACTTTCAGCTTTACAACTTTGCAGACTGTTTAAATTCACATACAGCTACATTAAACACTGCATGATATATAATTTTCAAAAAGCCATAATAGGGGCACGTTATTAAACTTTCCTTTGGCATCCTAATTTTTAAGGTTCTATGGTTCAGTTACAGAGGTATTGGAATCTCAATATGATTCCAGGAGTCCATCGTAAAAAAAATAAAAAGTACATATTTTCAATGGTCAAAAACCAAATATGTGTCACCTTGCATTCAGCTAACACTTTTTTTCTTTTAAAGTCTGCATAAACCGGAAGTTGCGACCGACTTTACTTCCGTATTGTGACGTCCTTCAGAGAGAAACGGAATATTGAATGAGAAAAACCGAGGGCGTGGCTTGTTTTTTCTACTGCGAACTGATTGGATATAGTAAAGTAGGCGTTTCATTCAAACAACACTGACAGTTGAGGGGCATGTTTAAGGATGTTATGCTCAAGCTCAAGCCGTCAAACTGACGTCATCAGAGAAGGTCCGTCATTTTAGAAGGGAGGTGCATTTTCAGATTTGGATTAAAGATCACAAAGGGATTTTTTTTTGTGGATTGACTTGCACGGATGAATTGTTCACCACAAAAATAGCAGTGTGCGCTAACAAAATAAATATAGTCCATTTTGATTTCATGAGTACTTTAAAGAGGAAGGTCTGAAGAATGAATAAATGTTGAAACTAGAAATGCATCTTGTTTCCCTCTATCAAAACAAGTGCATAGAGCATACCTGTCTGAGTACTAAAAATGCACTGAAATGATCAAGTTTAGTCACATTGCCTTGCTCTCTGTGGTCTATTCATAAGATTCTGTATTTGAACGTTTTTGTTCATTTTAACAACATCTGTAACTAATTATTGTAACAATGTTTGAAACAAATCCTATGCCTAAGTGTGGTGGCTTTCCCCATACAGTGTATTAACATCAATAAACCCAAGATTTGCCTCACCTGGATTAACTAGAATTTCTTTTATTTATTTATTGTTATCACGTTAAGCATAGTCATAGATCAAGTAATATCTACTGCTAAGGGGCATATTTGGAGGAATCACTGTTAGTAAATCAAACTTTGAAAACATTTCAGGTCTCGCACACTTGAAATAATTAACACTGGGTAATGCTAAACCCTAAAAGAATCTTATTTTACATTCCACTCTGTTCATACTTTACCCAGAGTTAACAATTAATCCTGGTTATTCATTATGACATGTCACACTATACATTCCTAAACCCTGTGTTACTGTTATTATTTGCATACTTGCAGTGTCAACATTCATGACTAGATAAACACAAATTCACATTAGGTTTTCATGTAAATGGGTAGGATTCTACAATTTGTATATTGAGTCGTATTGGGCTTCCCACATCTCTGGGAATGAACCATACAGGACTTAAAAAATGAAGATTTCAAAAGAAAAGTTTCTTAGGAATCAGAATCTAAAATCATATTAAAATATTAAAATCTTTAATACTTCTTGAGTTACAGGCATGCAGACTTTTGTGTTGATATTGAAAAATAGGATATATTTCTACTTTCAGTATTATTATTTGTTCTTCAGACATTGTCCTTTAAATACAATAAAAAATCTGCTGGTTGATAAAATAACATTTGGTTTTTAACCATTGAAAATGGGTAAAAGTCAACAATTGAGTCACATTGGGCTCTCTGTATCTCTGGGATTGAGACATATAGGGCCTTAAAAATGAGGATTACAAGTTAATTAAGAACCACATTCTAAAATCATATTCATATCTTTAATACTTCTTGAGTTACAGGCATGCAAACTTCGGAAAAAATAATATTCATGGCACTCAGACAGGTATGTTCTTTGCAATTGTTTTGACAATTCTAGTTTCAACATTATTTGTTCTTCAGACCTTCCCCTTTAAAAGAAAAAAAGGACCATGTTTATGCAAAGTGACCCATATTTGGCTTTTGTCCACTAAAAAAAAAAAGTGTACAATTTAACAATTTACTCCTGGAGCCATATTGAGAACCATATTGAGAGTCTTTAAAAATGAAGACGCCAAAAGGAAAGTTTGTTAAGACCCAAAATCTAAAAGGGCATTAAGATATCTTTAATAGGCTACTTCTTGATATACAGGCATGCAAACTTTGAAGAAAAAACTTGAAAAGTGCTTTTTCCCATTTTTCAACGGACTCAGCCACTAGCACATAATGCAACAAAGATAGCTAAAGTCAACAGATTGTCATTTAACTAATAGGCAACAAATCTCTGTGTAAAAATAATATAATGATGCCAACATCATTCATTTTTACCCTCCTGTAATTTGGCTCTAAATCACAATTTTTAATTTCGACCCCCCTCTACAACATAGTGGATTACTCAGTACATATACATCAGGGACATTTAATATTTTGGCTTTCATCACTATATACGTTTACCTTTTCTCAGAAATAAATATTGACAAAATCTAAATTTTGAGCTGGGGGTTGAGTTTACACACAATGACTGTGTGTGTGTGTGTGTGTGTGTGTGTGTGTGTGTACGTGTTTTTGTGACAAATTAATTTGTATAATGACAAAGGTATGACATAGGTATTACAAAGAGAAGGTGACTTTTCAGGACATTACCCCATGTCCCCACTTTTCAAAACAGTTATAAATCACACAGAATGGAGTGTATTGAAAATCTGAAATAGCACAAAGTCTCCTGTGAGGGGTAGGTTTAGGGGTAGGGTTGGTAAAGGGCAATAGAATATACGGTCTGTACAGTATAAAAACCATTACGCCTATGGGATGTCCCCACTTTTCACAAAAACAAACCTCTGTGTGTGTGTGGGGGGGGGGATCGTAACCGTCTGAGTTAACATGATTAAGCACACACAACTCAACCAGACTCCATTAATAGATGCAGTCATAGGGGGCTCGGTGAGAAGAAAGTGAAGAGATGCTGTCAACAACAGCAGGTCTTTTCTTTATGGTCCCATATTCTGAATGGTGGGTCCTACGTTGTTAATAGAGGATGCGCTGTTTATTTAGCAAATTATATGATAGACCTACAATAAGTGTCTCATGGTAAAGATGTCTACAGGACAAATCTTTCATCTCGAACACTGAAAATGTTTTTAAAAATCTGTTTAGAAATGAACAAAGTATATTGTACTTTTTTTTTTTACTTCGTACTAGTAGTTCTTTTGAACCCTGAGCTCCCTAAACTCTTTAGCAGCTTTTACTGTATGAACCCTTTAACTGTCTGTGCTCCCGACAGATGGGTAGATCATAGCTGGTAGCAGATTACAAGAGATTAAAACAATATCAGTCTTTCCCAGCTCAGATTTGCTCATTTTCTGACCCGTGACGACCCATGATGATCTAATCCTCACCCTCAGAGTGTCACTTACCCAAATGTTCCACCGAGAGAGCAAATGTGTTCTCACTCATTGAACTGCCTATATATAATCTGATTTAATGTAACCATACTTGTTATTTTTACAATTTTATAACGTGAATCAGTCTTATTCAAAATGTGTTGTTTGTACTTGTCCACTAGACGGTTACACTTTAGAATAAGGTTTCATTTGTTAACATTAGTTCATTAGTTACATCAACTAACAATTAACACCTTTTACAGCATCTACAATATTAATCTTAACGTTTATGTGTGTGTGTGTGTGTGTGTGTGTGTGTGTGTGAGCAGATCTCAGATCCAACAGATCTCTATTGTTCTACAGTAAGAGTATTTTTAATGACCTTTATACTCTTTTTGAACTGTTTTTGTATATGAGCGTACTACAAAATGTCATGGAATGCATTGGTAAATCACTACGGTGTCAAAACAATGATTTGGGCTAGGCTTCACAGGCATTTGGAACTCATTTAGAGAGCCCGGAGTTCATAACATCTTACATCCCACTAGAGTACTAATAAAGAAAATAAATGCTCAAAAGACCTAAACCAATAACTTATAACTGCAACACAAGAAGTGATACTGTAACATGATGGTGTTTTATCAAATGTGTGTGTTTTTTTTAGTTGTTTTTTTTAGCAAAAATAAACTCGAAAGTAGCTAAGATTGCATATGCAAAACATGACAGAAAATATACTAAAAAGTCGTGACTCGTGAGTGGTCATAATTGGTAAAAACGTACCTGTCATTAGAGAGTAATAGTTCGGATAGGACAGACTGGGGAAATCTGGAGTCATGTAATCCACTTTCACACCGTTGTCCACGATTTCTCTAAATCCGGCCAAGTTCTGTAAATCGTCCATGTAATCATAACGGAAGCCATCGATCAGAAACACCAGGAGTTTGCGGTTTGCGTCGCAGCATCCGGACAGAAGGAGAATAAAAACGGCGAGGATGTTCAGCACGGCTCGAGTCATGATGCTCTGGTACTGAGAGCTGAACTGATCTGACTGATGGAGAGATGAACACACTCATCTGATTCATGAAAAACTCTCCGTCTTAATGGGCGTGTGTCGGGGAGAGTCCACGACCACTGCAGGGACAAATAGCCAGCGTTCTGGTCTCAACTTTAAACTGGTTAATCTTTTTTTTTTTTTTTTTTCTCAATATTGTGTTTTTTTGTTAATATTTTAAATTGTATATATAATTTTAATAGTAATTTTTTTTTAAATATATATATATTTTTAAACATTTAAACAATTAATTTAAAGGGGACATCGGATGCAAAATTCACTTTTTCATGGTTTTGAACTTAAATGTGTCTTGGCAGTGTGTGTGGACACAAAGACCCTATAATCATAAAATTCCACCCAGCGCTTTTTTTTAAATCGCCACAAATCATAAGCACTTTCTCAAATCAAGCCGTTCCAAAGTAATAAACTATGCATCATTTGAAAGCTAAAACAATTAAGATTCATCTTCTGAACTAGTTTTTGAAATCAGTACACCAGAGAGGAAATGGTTAAATGAAATGCTGAAGAACTGGCCCTTTAAGTTAGTTCAGCAAATACTTAACCCCTCATGAACAACTATCTAAATCTGTTTATCTTCATTTACTTCCAGTAAAGGAATATTTAAATGCAGCTGACATGGGTTTAAGCTCAAAAAGTACCTAAACAGAACCTAAAAGTCCTTTTCAAATGACCCAGCTAATAATTCAGATAAGCAGATACTTGAACTCCTGATGACTACTCGAAATTCGGCCTTTGGAAAGCACCTGTTATTTTCTCCACATTTATTTCATTCATTCATGTTCTTGGACATATTTACAATCTGTCACGTCGTTTTCACTGTTTAGCAGAGCATCACACCAAAAATACTGGCTGTTGGTTTAAATCTTGGCCCACTATAATGACTTGAAAAGTTTTGGCCTGCGTTTTTTGCTCTACACATTATATGATCTGCACTGACCTCTGGTGTCTGGAAACTGATAAAAACAGCCCTTATAGAAACAAACAGAAGTGTCTTCTGCCACTAGGCTGTGCAATAACCTCAACATTATGCCCTCACTGAACCCTCAGACAGAAACAGTGAATATGAAAAACCAACCCAATATATGGTCCAACAAACCTCTACTGTAGTTCATTCAGGTAGGCTAAAAGTAGTCACATTGAACTTTGAGGAGGTGGATTCAATAGATAAAGGTGGATTGTGCAATAATGTTCAGAAATGTGTTTGGTACCACACACTCCCTCATACACACACACAGACCAGATCACTTTACACACAACATGAGCAGGAGTTGTGTTAAATCCTGCTAAATAAATAACACTGCACAACATTCACTTATCTGCACAGTGTTATTCTGGAATGGGCACTTTGTGTTAAAAACAATTATGGATCATGAATGGTTTGGCTTGATTCCTCAAATCATATCTTAATGTGCTGTTACTCCTCTCAGTGATCAAACTTATGAATTTTGCCTGGTGTAAATCAAATTTAGTTCAACATGTTTCTGCAAAGTTAAAAACTTGAAAAGTGACAATTGGTGATGTGTCTCTGCGGTGTGTGGACCTCGGTCCCTCTAGAGGGGTCTCCGGAAGAAAATTTTGTACATTTTAAAGTTAAATTAATCTATCTGGTACACTTTGAGTTCAAGAGCTCCAACCCACGTTCAGTGCAGAAATTGAGCAAAGAAAAGAGTAGGTGAATTCAATTTGTATACCTCAAATTTAAAGGGGACTTTTTTAGTAGTGATATAATGTCTTAGGGCCTAAAACTAACGTATTGCCATACCTGCCAATGACCACTGATTGGAGAAAAATTACCAGCCATAAATATATATATTTTTCCTGGCCATGAAACTGTTTTTGCAAAAATCGGCAGCTGCTACTACTACAACAACTAAACATTAAAAAAAAAATCTGTACCCATTTGGAACCAATCACTGCCTTTTAATCACAATACAAACAAAGATGCTTCACACTACACACATGTAGCATGAGTAGTTTTTTATTTAAATTTGATTGTATAATTTCACAATTTAAAGCAAAAACAGAATACTCTGGCTTAGCTTTGTGAAATTATGCAACAAAAAACCAGTGTTGCCAACTTGGCGACTTTTCAGACCCCTTTAACGACTTTTTTCCAAAAAAGCGCCTAGCGACAAATCTAGCGACTTCTTGTACAAACCTTATTTAGTTTCTAAGCGCACACCCCTCTCTCTGCGTCTGCTCTGTTCAGCAAGCGGCTGAGAGGAGCAGCGCTTTCAGTTAAAAGAGATATTCTGTGGCTTCAAACTCTACTGTACATGCAAATATAGCTGAAATCACAGCACAACCATATCTTTATCTTATGTGTATTTGATTTAATTAGACGACGTCCTGGACTCCTGATTATGAATCAGGATTTTTGTGCAGATTAACATCTAAGGGAGAGCTGGTTATGTAGTCTTAATGGGCCGCGTTTCAGTCACTATTTCATATTCATCACAGTAAAATATATCAGTGAAAACCGTTTTATTGACAATTTGGCTGCATTAAAATACAGTTTGGGGGCACAGAGGAAGTTGGCAACACTGCATAAAACATGCCTGCACGAAACAGAAACAGCAGAGGGGCTGAATGAGACGCAGATTCACTCTCTGCCAGCAGGTGGGCTTCTGGATCAGCAGCACACAGCGTTTCCTTGGTTACCGCTGTAAACAAAGCAGCGCTGCTGCGCATAAAAATACTGTTTAATAAGCGTTACACGGAGGTAAGAGGGAAAAATGCCATCTAAACTTTTCTGAAGACAGTCAGTTCCCTTCAGAGATACTTAATCATATGAAACCCCACCTGAGTATTTATATTTTTCTTCCAGTATTTCGAGCATCGCGAACAGTGAGCCTGCTGCGCTTGACCGCAGTAGTATTTTCTCTGTGCGCATCTGTTAATTTTAGGCCCTGCTTGCAAGAGATAAACCCTTGAGCTTTTATTTTGAAGGAAACTGTAGTTGAGCTTTTATTTTGTTGGAAAACTGCAGCTTCTGTGACAATTGCCCTGCGTCCCAATGTTCATACTATCCACGATAAATACATTTAAAATTAAAGTTTTATCCAAAGCGACTTACAGTGCATTCAGGCGAATTTTTTATCAGTATGTGTGGAACAGGGAATTGAACCCACGACCTTTGCGCTGCTAACCTGCTAACGCAATGCTCTACCACTGAGCCATAATTATATTAAATAGCATTTGAGATTAGAATAAGTGTATCCCAAAGCATAGTAGAATATGTTGAAAAGAGTATGCCAAAAGTCCCCCGATGGTCTACTTTTTCAGGTCGATTTTTGAAGGGTGGACTGTGCACACTCAGCTAATATTGCCCCACAATCCATTGAGCTTTGGCGAAGAAGGATTCGGTTCATAACACTGATCTATATACTATAATATAGATCAGTGGTTCAGAACTACAAACGTGAACAACAACAAAAAACTACAAACATGGTGGATGTGTGTGACCGACGGTTGAGTAGAGAGGTTTAGATAAAGGGTTTGAATTACTAATAATAAATAATCAACATTTAACCTGGTAAAACATTTATTTAATGTTATTTGTGTTATATTTCATCTGAAACAACAATGTGAACTTTTTTAATCATCCGTTTGGTCATTAACTTTTAAATGCGTCATTATGCAAAAATCTACGTGCTACTTCTTTTCTTTCTAATACGGTTGGAAGTTAAATTAAATTAAATGTAGAGGATGTTAAAGGGGTCATATTTTGCGATTAAAATTTTTCCTTTCTCTTTGGAGTGTTACAAGCTCTTGCTGCATAAAGAAGATCTGTAAAGTTGCAAAGACTAAAGTCTCAAATCCAAAGATATATTCTTTATAAAAGTTAAGAGTCAACCACGCCTACCTAAAACTGCTCGTTCCAACATGCCCCCACATATCTACCTCACTATGTGGGAAGATTTGCATAATGCCGCCCAAATGTGGACGCAAAGAAAGAAGACGTGGTTTCAGGAACAGCAGTCGTGTTGAAGCAGCATGTCAGGGAGACGCTGTGTTTTAGTACGAAAGCAAAAGCACTTTATTTGGCCTTCCGGAAGAAGATGCAATTAGGAATCATTGGTTAAGTTTTATTTACAACAGAACAGCACAACCCAGATGTTCGAATTTGTGCAACGCATTTTATGGATAACAGTTTTTTGAACCTAGAAGAGTGTACAAGGCTGGCTGTGCACAAAGGCTACTTCTATAAAAAAAAAAAAAACTTTGAAAGCTGAAGCTGCGATTATTGTAAGGGGCATTACATTTCCAACGAGTGCTTGCGGTGTTCGGCCAATCACAATGCACTGGGTCTGCTGGCCAATCAGAGCAGACTGTGCTTGTCAAAGGAGGGGGCTTTGTTGAAAACAACGTGTTTGAGAGAGGCGTGGCATAGAGGACCTACAATAATGTACAGTATTTGAAAAGTGTTTTTTGAACATCAAAGCATGTCAACATATTCTGTTACACCAAATACACAAAATAATGATCTTTAAAATAGCATCATATGACCCCTTTAACTGTGATAAGATGCTTGGCAGGCCAGTTTACAGTGACAGGGTGTGTGTTATTATGCGACAGAGCGGTCCATTCTATGCACAATCAATTTAACAAATTTCTACTTATATATATAGGCCTATATAAACAAATATTTAAATATAATATTAATACAAGACTTTTGTTTTAGTTCAGGGTTCCTCAAATCTTGCCCTGGAGGGCCAATGCGCTGCAGATTTTAGCTCCAGCCCTGATCAAACTCAGCTACCTGTGATTTTCTAATGATCCTGAAGACATTGATTAGCATGCTCAGGTGTGTTTGATTAGGGTTAGAGCTAAACTCTGCAGAAAAGTGGATCTCGTGGGCCAGATTTGAGGACCTCTCTTTTAGGCCCTGTCCACACGAACGCGGTTATTTTTAAAACCGCATCTTTTTCTACGCGGTTTGG